TTTTGCAGAGACCGAGTTGGTGCCGTACAAGACCCAGAAGGTGCCCTTTTTGTTCCTTCGTACCGTTCCCGACAATGCGCTCCGCGTGCAGCGGCTGCCTCTCGTAGGCTACTCACGGAATGGCGATCCTCGAAGACCCGCGACCGGCTCGCTCCTGGGTTTAGCCCAAAGGACAGAATTGATCCTGCGATCCTTGCGTTGCTGTTCAATGTAGCTGCTGCCTCGACTTGAGAATTTGCATACTTGTCACGTGGTCCCTACACATCCTCTTGCACAACATCTCTCCATCATATGCGAATCTCTGAGCAGACTTATCATCGCTTACAATTCACGTCATCCTGGGACTTGCGACGCAGAGAAGCTCCTACACTGTTCCGAGAAAGCGCCAGAGCTGACTCTGAAGGGCGGGGGATGCGATACTGGCGACGGCTGGCCTGGAGGCACAGAGCTGCTCTAGGCTTGCTCTGGAGAGCCTTTCTCTAACTGAAGTCGCCTTCCTTGTACCCGAGGTACTGCATCTGCTCGTCCATTCATCTACGGACTACACTCTGCGGTCGCTCCGATTGGAGTACGTCCATGCGTCCACGCTGCCCTCAATACAAGCCTTTGTCAACGCGGCAGGACCAACATCATGTCGTCTTTCCGCCACGACATGATGACCAGCAGCGTGTTTCATGAGTAGGCTTCCTTTTTCAGCGATCGAGAACCAAACTACAGATCTAACACCCTGCCGCGCGTTGAACGAGATGACCCTTGCATTCAACCTCGAGGTGGACGGCCCGGACCAGCTGCAGATCGCCTTCTCTGCAGTCACATCCGTCTTCGCCGAGATGACAGTGTCAGACCAGGCCGTTCACAGGGACTTACAGGAAGTCACACTGGAGATGCCCTTGGACAGCGTGCACACCAACCGGACCATCACATAGGCATACGTGGACTATACTCGCCAACGGTACTGGAGCGAGCGCTGCATACACTTCTCGAGCGGTCCTCCATCGACAAGATCATGGTTCAGTGCGTGTTCGACCCCGACTGGAAGACGAGGCACATGGCCGAGCGGGTGGTCAGGGGCATGTCCCCTGACGTATGAGGAAGACTCGGCTTAACATTGTAGTGGAAGTATGATTCTGCAGACTAGAGCCTGTATAAATGCTCAAGCATGCTCGACGTGTCTCTTCATGGCCTGTCACGAAACAGGGTTCGATAGTCAGACACACAATGAGCTTGAATCTTTCTATAATTATGGTGATATGCGAGGAAAGCCAAATGACAAGACAAAATAGTATACTCGTGTTTGGAGATGAAGAAAGATGGCCTACTGGCCGAACGACCGCGCCAGGAACCCCTCGATTTGCTTCTTGTGTACAGCCTGAGGACCACGATCAGAGTCACGCCCAACGCGAATGAGAGCTCAGAACTACTCACTTTGCTGCCAGTAGCAATCGAGCTGGTGGGTGGACGGCCAGCATACAGGGGGTACTTGCCCTTGTGGTGCTCCGTCTCGTTGGCTGCGGTCAGGATGCGAGGCGCAACGTATCCCCAAGCACCGTTGTTGAGAGGCTCCTCTTGGCACCAGAGAAGGTCGGCGTTGGGGTACTTGTCCAGATGGGGAGTGACCTATGGGGGTACGCGATCAGTGACTGTACAGCATAGCATACAAAAGAAACATACGAGGTCGTAGGGGAATGGCGAAATCTGTTCCACGCGAGAGATCACGACATCCGTAATGCCCTTGTCCTCGCGCTCCTGAAGGAGGGTATGGTACACCTGACCGGTACACAGGATGTGTCTCCTGATTTGTTCGGGAGCGACCAGGTTTTCGGGATGGGAATCGGGAAGATACCGCTGGAAGTGAGTCTCGCCAACCATCTCGGAAAGATCGGAGCGAGCCTTAGGGTGACGGAGGAGGGATTTTGAGAAGAATACGATGAGCTTTAGAGAGGTATAGTTAGCTGCAATTCTATCCTTCAGTCTGTAAGAGTACGTACAGGCTTGCGGAAGTCACGATGTATCTGGCGACGGAGTACATGGAACTAGATACGACAATCGTTAGTAAGCATCAGGTTAGCATAACAGAAGAACGCACGTAGTTGGCAGGGGTCGTTGGGTAGACGACCTGCATGTTACAATCCTGGTGCTGACGTTCGATCTTCTCGGGTGTCGGGTAGACGTGAGGGTGATCGTCGCAGAGCTGCAGGAACCGCTCAATACGACCACTGGAGTGCTCTGGGCCCTGGCCGTCGAAACCGTGAGGAAGGCTCATCACGAGGCCGCTGCGCTGCAACCATTTCCTTTCGCCGGACGCGATGAATTGATCGATGATACACTGCGCATTGTTGGCGAAGTCACCGAACTGCGCCTCCCAAATGGTCAGGTTGTCGGGAGAGACGAGAGAGTAACCAAGCTCGAAGCCAAGGGCGCCGAATTCGGAGAGGGAAGAGTTGCAGACGACGAAGCGTGCCTGGTTGGAGCCGAGATCGTTCAAAGGAACGTACTGTTGCTCATTCTCCTGGTCGTGCACAACGGCGTGACGCTGCGAGAAGGTACCACGCTCAACATCCTGGCCAGAGAGACGGACGTGGATCTTCTCGAGGGCCAGAGTACCAAAAGCGAGAGTCTCGGCAGTTGCCCAGTCGATGTTGTTGCCGTCCTCGACGGTCTTACCACGAGTAGTAAGAATACGGGCAAGGTTCTTGTGGGGGGTGAACCCTGGTGGGAAGGAGGAGATAGACTTGCCGACGCGCTTGAGGACCTCCTCGTCAGTGCCGGTGGGCCGGGTGGGAAGAGTCTCCTCCGCGAGTTGCTTCGGTGACGGGAACCCTGGCCACGAAGCAGAGAGCCACTCCTTGGAAGTGGGTTGGTAATCCTTTGCCTTATCCGCAGCTTGCTCGAGCATGCCCCATACCCACTTCTTGTGATCCTCAATCTCCTGCTCGGTGAAAGTACCGCGCTGAACGAGGAACTTGCTATACTTGGTGAGAGGAGTAGGCTGCTTAGCGATGGCCTTGTACATGCGGGGCTGCGTGAAGCTGGGCTGGTCAGTCTCGTTGTGGCCGTGCCGACGGTAGCAGACAATGTCAAGGACAACGTCCTTCTTCCACTTCGCACGGTAGTCGGCAGCAAGTTGGCAGACGAAGGTGACGGCCTCGGCGTTATCACCATTGACATGGAAGATGGGGGCATCGATTGCCTTCGCGATATCGGAGGGATATGGAGTGGAACGAGCAAAGCGTGGGTCGGTAGTGAAACCGATCTGGTTGTTCACGATTAGGTGGATAGTTCCTCCGGTACCATAGTTGGGCAGGTTGTGGAAGCCCATGGTCTCGTAGACGACACCCTGACCGGCAAAGGCTGCGTCGCCGTGAAGCAGGACGCCCATAGCTGTCTGGTGAGTCTGCTCGTCGTTCTCTAGGTGTTGAAGAGCGCGAGTTTTCCCAAGGACAACGGGGTCCTCAGCCTCCAAGTGCGACGGGTTCGCGACCAGGGAGAGCGCGACCTTCTTGCCAGATGGGGTCGGGCGGACATAGTTGGCACCCAAGTGGTACTTCACGTCACCGGCGTGGTACATGTCATCGTCAGCACTGCCAGAGAACTCGTTCAGGATGGCCTCAATGGGTTTCCGGATGACGTTGCCGAGAACGTTGAGACGCCCACGGTGGGGCATGCCGATTGTGATGTGCTTGACGCCATGGTCGACAGAGCGGTCGATGAGAGCCTTCATGCCCGGTATGAGAGCCTCACAGCCTTCGAGACCGAAGCGCTTCTCATTCGGGTATTTGCTGGCAATGAACTTCTCGAACAGCTCTGACCAGATAAGACGGTCCAGGATCATGCGCTTCTCGTCGACGGTGTAATTCCACGGCTTGGGAATTTCAACGCGCTCACGAATCCAGTCGCACTGCTCCTTGTCGGGGATGTGAATGTACTGGATACCAACAGCGCCGCCTACACGCGCGTTCGTCGTGAGACCGAATTGACGCTATGCCAATACCAGAATAACACCTACAGTAAATGCGCCTGCAGAGCTTGATAATTTCACCGAGCGGCATCGTTTTCCGGTCCTCCGTCGCGAAGTATGGCAAGATACCGGGACCGAGTGTGATCTGCTTCTCAAGGTCACGCTCGGTAAAGCCGAAATGGCTCAGCTCCAGCTCCGGGGGTGCACGGTCGCTGAGGTCGGCATCCAGGATACCCAGGGGGTCGAGGTCCGCGACATGGTGGCCGCGTACTTGATACGCGCGAACGAGGAGTTGCACCTAGGAAATAGGTGATCAGCGAAACTTGAACAGCAGAACAATCACACGGGAATAGAACATTGCAGGAAGTATGAGAGGTTTCTGGTATATCGCCTGCCATCGAGGGGACGCAAAAAAATGACAGCCGGGGTGAAGTGAGAGGCAGGAATGGGATTCACGCGTATAAATACTATTGGCAGGACGTTCAGACCAGCTAGCCCTTTTTGTTTCGGTGTGTGACAGTGGCACCGGCGCGTATAAGAATGCACACACTATGTCCGTGTCTCCACGAACCAACATAACACGTACCTTCAGGTGATCGTCTAGTTCTCCGCCACCGGAACTATGTAGCGCAGGCGCGCCTCCAGTAGGCACGGCTTCCGGAGGAGGTTGGAAAGCCTGTGGGCTGGTTAGACCCTTCTTGTCCATGCCGGTGAAGTAGACGTTCCAGGAGACGTGGACGGACTTGGGGTCCTGTCTCCAGAGCCTGTACATCTCCTCGATGTAATAGGTATTTGTGCCATTCGCGAACGGATCGTTGGGAGACGGTGGCTTGGCCGCTGTGGCAAGGGAGCGGTGGACCTGCGGTGTGCTGCGCAGAGTGACGTTGGGAAAACGCCTGAGGGCGCGCGCCGGTCGTGACAGCATCTTTGTGCTTCGAGCAGACTAGAAGGACGCCGTCGAGCTCGAGGCCGAAGATGTCTGAAGAAATGGACGAGAAAAGAGGCTGGTGGTGGTTGTGAGGAGAGAGCGTCCGACGAATTAAGTACGCCAAGCACAAGCCGACAGTTTGGTCGATGCGAGGTGATCCGGCCCTTCAAGTAGTCGCATGCGCTCACAGTCGGCCGAAAATATAGCGAATATTTACGTCGCATTTCATGCCGCCTTCATCCCGTCTGTTCACAATGGGTCTAACAATATCGCCAACGCGCTATCTCATTTCGCCGCCGTCTGCACCGTCGTCTCTCACGAACCAGCATGTCTCTGCTTCGCAGTAACCTCCGCCTCTCGAGATCTCTGGCACAGCGCACACAGCATGTCCTGAGAGCTCGTTATCAGACAGGGACCGCACCCCAGAGTGCGTCTGGAGGCATTCCGCCGCCACTCAAGGGCATCAAGATCGTCGACCTCACGCGGGTCCTCGCGGGGCCCACGGCGACTATGCTACTCGCGGACCTCGGTGCGGACGTCATAAAGGTCGAAGAAGTTACCAGGGGGGATGACACTAGTCGGTATTCTTGCCCGTAGATGCAGAGAAGCTACTGAAAACTCGTAGGAGCCTGGAATCCACCGTCGGCTCCCAGGACCGAGGATGGTCCTGCATCGCACCTTCCACCAGAGTCAGCGTACTTCTTGGCCGTGAATCGCAACAAGCGGTCGATCACGGTCGACTTCAAGCAGCCAGAGGGCCTTGCTATTGTACACAGGCTCATCTCCCAGGCCGATGTTCTGGTAGAGAACTACATCTCTGGCAAGCTTGCGACCATAGGCCTCGGCTGGGAAGACTGCCGGAAGATCAACCCACGCTTAATCTACACGAGCATTACGGGATACGGTCAGACAGGTCCTTATGCAAAGGCAGCAGGGTACGATGTCGTTATCGAGGCTGAAGCAGGGCTTATGCACATGTGCGTTGTCTATGCGTGCACCAGCTCATTACCGTTCTGACTTGATCATAGCACAGGTGAACCAAATGGCCCTCCTTGCAAAGTCGGCGTAGCTGCTACCGACGTTGCTACTGGTCTGTATGCTCATGGGGCCATAATGGCGGCACTTTTGTCCCGACAGCAGACGGGCAAGGGTGTATGGATCGACTGTAATCTATTCGAGTCTCAGGTACGCGTTTTACTTATGAATAGATTGAACTCTATTGAGTCATGTCCTAGGTAGCCGGTCTTGCTAACATTGCATCCAATTACCTCATCGCTGAGCAAGAGGCTGGGCGGCACGGCACGTCTCATCCGTCCATCGTCCCATACCAAGTCTTTCCATGCCAGGATGGCTATCTCATGATAGGTGCTGGCAATGACAAGCAGGCGCGTTTCTGTGATCCTTCGCTGATACTTTGACTCACAAGTATGGTTACGTTCAGTTTGGACTGCTGGCATCGAAAATCCTGAAACGTCCCGAGTTGCTATCAGACCCGAAGTTCAGCTCAAACGCCGCCCGAGTCGCCAACAGGGCTGAGATCGTCAAGATTATAACCGACACGTTGATGGAACATAACAGAGACCACTGGTTGAAAGAGTTTGACGGCCTTGGGTACGTGATTCCTGTAATAACTTGTCGACATATAGCTAAACGAGAAGCAGTGTACCATTCGGACCCATCAATAATATCAAGCAGACATTCGGGCACCCACAGGCAGTTGCTCGTGGCGTCACGGTCGCGATTGAGGTACGCTCTGCGGTTCTCCCTCATGGTATTTTATACTGATTACACGCCGTTAGCATCCTCGTGCAGGAAAGATCAAGATGGTTGCGCCAGCAGTAACCTACAATGGACAACGGATGCCCGTTAACCGCCCTCCGCCTTATCTCTCACAGCACACGGATGAGGTACGCGTATCTGTATAACCGATGGCTCCTGCTTACCTAGTGTGCTTGTAGGTGCTGTACGAGTTGGGCTACAACTCTTCGCAGATCGAGGGATTCCGGAACAAACGCATTGTCTAAGCTATTCTCGCTAGCTTTAAATACCCTGATGTGCATTATATGAGGACTTTCCGGCACATTAACATATTTACACTCGTGGCAAGTATATAAATACAAGGGTATACCCAGCAAGAGTCTACGCAAAAGACACCTGTCCTGCCGGCTTGGCGCTGGCGAAGGACCCGTGCTCCGCAGGTGCACCGGAGATTTCGGAGAGGAACGTCGATTTTGGCTCACCGCTCAGGATGGCCTCGTTCGCGGCGAAGTTCATCGACTCAAGCGGTGCTGTCGTGCTGCCATCCACTTGGGGCGGCTTGAAGATGCGTGCGCTCTTGCTGCGTGTGAGCCGCGAGTGCACGTCGTTGGTGGTCAGCTGCAGCGCGGCAAGGATGATGATCATTGTAGGTGTGATAGCCTGCAGAAGACAAGAGGCGTCAGAGAAGTCAGGCCAAGAGTATGTGAGCAGAACCTTACTGTCAGCTGGGCGATGGGATCATAAATGATGTAGAAGGCGTTCGAGCCAAGGAAATAGAGAGTAAGCTCGCAGATGAGAGCGACCGAGTATATCATGCCAGACTCGATGATGATCACGAGCACACGCCAGTACCTAAAAGACGCGGTGCCGCCGGCCATGCGAAGCATATACCTGCGGTGGCAGCAGCGTGAGTAGATGAGTCAAGCGTCGCGCAGGGTATCTCACCAAACCCTCATGGCGATGAGGACGGTCACTGTCACGTTCGTCGCCAACGACAGGCTGAACAGGGAGCCATTCCATATTTGCAGGCTGTGCGCGAATGCACTGTGCAGGTTCTTGGCGCGCGCGAACTCGACGGTCTGTGCAAAGCCGCACACTGCGTGGCGCGCACGAGGTGATGTTAGCCAATGAGCGCAGCCCACGCAAGCGTATGCCTACCGGCTGACGCGATGATGAGCACGATCGGGACGATACACATCTTCCAGTCCCGACCCCATACTAGCCAGCATCGCCATACCTGATGGATTGCATCACGACGGGTTAGCTTCTGTCTCGCCGCCAATAGATGCAACAGCATCACTTACGACCACGCTGTCTCCTATGACGGACTAGAAGCACGAGGTGAGGCAATCAGTCTGATAGAAGTGATCTATGAAGCGAAATCACGTACATTGACGGTATGTATCCCCACTTTCACGACGTTGGCAGGGATGGAGACATCGGAGAAAAATGCGCCAGGGCCTCCAGGCCAGTCACGGCGCACGATGAAGCCTTCGATGAGGCGTTGGAAACCCAGCGAGACGTGCGAGGTAGAGAAAGCGAACATGGTCATCGCTATGCCCACCAGGAGTTTGTTGATTTTGGGCGTCCGTCGCCGAATAGTAAGCATTGTCAGACAAGCCCAGAACAGGACAAAGTTCATCCCTACAAGGCGCGTCATGAGTATAGACGCGAAGGCGGGGCATGGGGTGGCTTACCATAGAACAGAGTTTCAAGCCAAATGGCGGAGAGATATGCTTTGTCGAGAGCAATGGCCATGGCAGCAGAAGTGTACGACGGAGGGCGGGAACAGACCCAAGGCTGAAGCCCCGTTCAGAGCGCGGTTTTGTACCTGCGGGCCAATGTGAAATTAGATCGAAAGCCGGAACCGATGAAATGCTAGCTCTCGGGCATTGCCATCATGCGCATCTATATATCATCTTCGCGAACCACAAGCACATGACGCGCCACAAGGGTATGATTGCAGCGGGGTCAGATTTTGATGTATCCTTGGCCTCTGCTTGGCTGAAGACACCGCTTCCATGACCCGCTTGCCCATTGTCCATCGTTGAAGATGATGAGCTCGGTATATTTCCCACCAATGCCACACTAGCATAAATCATGGGGGACTGCGGTGTGCTGAAGCTGCAGATATATCAACTTGATTTTGGACGGCGAGAGACAAAAATCCCCAAACAGGCTCTTCTATCAAGCGGTCTAGGAACGCGGGCTCCAACCTCGCACTGCCTATAAGCCAAGGTTCAGGTTCTATAATGTACCTTACTGGTTCTCGTGGCAGAAGCCGACCAGTGGCGGTCTAATATCGCCTTGTCTGGTTGCTCAATGCCAACTCGGCGAAAGACAGCTCGTCCCCGACTTGTCTCGTGCGCAAAGTCGTCTCAGGGCGACTCAAGGATCAGAAAATAATGACTCTTTTCAAATGCGACTCACCGCCCAACGTCCCGTCGGACGTACTATGAGTAGGTTTTGTTGCTGGCCGTCCGGGCTGCGCATCGAGCCCGTTGGTCCTCTGGCATGGACTCGGCAACTCAGACAGTAGATGTCATGCTCACGAACACTTGATAAATTTGAAGCTAGCAACGGATGAGCTTTGAGCATGCTTCAATGCTAATACCAGGATACGGGCACGTCTTCCCACCCTGATACCGACTGTGAGAGCATAGTGAATGGCGAAACTCAGCCACAGCGATCAGAAGCACCTTTTTGTCTTTACACGTTGTACGCACCATACCCGTCCAAAAAGTCTTGTCTTCTCAGGGCGCCGCAGGTGATGCGACTCCGGACCGACCTAGGACGTGACAGACCTAGAATGTGACAGAAACGCTCCGTATCCCAAGGGCTACTCAAACACAACTCCACCTTGTCCGCATCCGAGAAGTGATGCAAAGATGAACAGGAAGGAAAAGTGCAAGGGAGAAAAAGGGCCGGTCGCACACGACGTTGAGGAGCAGGTTCGGAGTGCCAGAGGACGTGTCCCGCTCCCGACGTACATCTGATCGATCCGCCTTTGTGGCGCCTGGCATCGCCAGGTACCGACCCAGTAATGTACTACAACGGCGAGTCCTGCAGTCCGAGATACGGTCTCTCGTATGTGCGCAAGTCCCTGATGAACTGTTGCTAGCTGAGGCTGTTTCTCAGGCGGCCATATATCGACATCGACATTACCGCCGTTCACCGGCAGCGCCGAACCCCAGAGCAGCGACTCAGACCTGATTCAGGGTACGCAGGAAAGGCTGCATTTCATCTGCAGAAAGAATAGCAAAGGGTATCAGTCTGGGTACTGCATAACCGTGAGGCGGCTATTTCAGTCCGCCTTTGTGGCGTCCATCGCCGGGTACACTGTAGATGGCGAGCTAGTCCGACGATCCCTCGTATATATATGTGTAGATGTGCGTGCGCGTCCTTGATGAGATCGTTGCTGGCTGTGAAACCGTTTCTCAGGTGTCCACAAATCGGCCACTGCATTCAATTTGCGCAAAGAATGGCAAAGGGTATCAGTGCGCTAGTTTACAGCAGCGCCTCAAACAGAAGCATATACAGGAAGTTAGAGTCAAAAAAACGCAAGCCGAGTATACGAAGCAAGAGTAGGTAGTGTACTAGAAGAGAAAGTGTGGTGAGTCGGGAAGGAATGCAGGGGAGGGACTCGGACTGCCGTACTACACCAAGTACACGACGAGCGGCACAGGAAAAACTGTACAACAAATTAAGCATACACACAGAAGTAACGGATTAAGAGACAAGTATAGATGAGGACATAAATTAGCTAGGAAGGCAAGCGTGTTTGTATGCCAAGAGTAGCAATGTCTGTAGGGTCCGTCAGCACGACAGCCATGCGCAGCTTGAAGACAGCTCACCAGTCCAAAAGCAAAGAATCGCTTTGCATATCATGAACCTCCTGTGCCACGTGCTAGTGCAAAATCGCCCTGGATGGGACATGGACGGCACCATACGCACTCAGCCTCTTCTCTCCCAAGAACTCGCCGAGATCCTGGTGCGGCAGGCGCAGGCAGTCAATCGGGAACAGCCCGCGCGCGGCGGTGCCCACGTTCTCGGCGTAGGCCCACCCGTCGTCGTACCGCCTAAGCACGCGGACGCGATCGCCGGGCTCAACTGCCATCTCGTCCCCCTGGCTGGGCACGAACGGCCGGCGGACGACCTCGACCGCGGCGAAGTACACGGTGGCCGAGTCTGCGGTCAGGAACGACGCCTCCTCATTCTCGGCCGCGCTGTGCCCCGCGTCGCTGTCTGCAGGTGCAGCAGCAGAGGGGTCCGCGAATGGGTCGACGGCGGGCGAGAGCGACCGCGCCGTCGCGTACTCGGATGTCGCGAGCGAGTCGGGAGAGGTGGAGCACGTGCGGGGAGGCGGAAAGACCGAAGAGGACTGGCGCGGCGGCATAGGGAAGGAGAAGCTCTCAGTCGGTGTGAAGGGTCGTACGGAGAGGGGGGTGATTGGTGTCAGAGGCTCGCCGTTGGTATGCGGTTCAGGTATAAGGAGAATCTGCGGCTCTGAGTCGTTGATGGATGTGTCAAGGGCACTGGGACCGCTCGAAGCAGTGTCGTAGCCGTTTGAACTCGTACTGCTCCCACTGCGTAATGTCGACGATGGCGGTGAAGCGGCTGTCGGAGCCGCGGCTGGTAAGGTGATTATATGCGTGTCTGCCTGCATCATCTGTGGTGGGCTCAGCAGCGACCAATCAGATGTATGCGGGATAGGCGGTAGAGATTGCATCGAGAAGGGGTCAGGCTCATGCTCGAAACTCGTGCCAAAGCTACTGCGAATGGACGGTGAAGAATTCTGGCGAGAGTAAGCAGAGCCATAAACGGCAGTTGTACTGCGCCCGGTTGTCTCTCCACGAAACCACTGTTTGCGACGTGCAAGTCTCTGTGCTACAGCCCGGCGGCGACAATAGAAGAAGAGGAGCGCTAGCGAAAAGAGCGAGGCGAGCACTGCGATGGTTGCGATGACGGTTATCGAGAGACCATGGTGAGAGTCAGACCCGGAACTACCGTTAGGGACTGTTCCACCCTGGCCTCCGTTGCCGTTAGATGTCCCGCCGGGGCCAGAAGAGCCGGTGGCCAGTGCGCCTGCGGCCGTAAAGGTCACGACCGTCGAGGTTTCGGGGAATAAATTGGCAGCATCAATGCTACTTTGCGTTGCGGAACCGCCGCCGGGGTTTGCGACAGCGTTCTGGGTGGGCACAGGTACCGGCTGTCCGTCTGGCAAAGTCAGGTTGTGGATAGGTGCAGTACCACTTAACGAGAAAGTAGGCAAGATGATACTCGAAGCGCTGATGAATACAGGCTGTGATATTGGCACGGACGTCGAAGTATTGACGGCAGCAGAAGACGGCTGTGGGTTAGGCAGCGACGCGGTCGGAGACGCGTCGTTTGATGCAGCCCCAGTTGTCCGATTGTCTCCTTGCTCAGCAGCACTGCCATTGCTATTACTTCCCAACTGAGCGGAAGTACTTTTCGGTGCATCTGGCTTGCCCCCGTCGTTCGTATTAGGAGGTGGCTGAGGAGATAAAGGTGGCACTTGAGGTCGCGCCTGTGGAGACGATGAAGACGATGGAGGCGGGTCGAGCGCAGGCTCTGGCGCAGATGCAGGTTCTGGAGATTGAGACGTGAGTGTATTCGCGGGGGGTGCGGGAGCGGGAGCAGTAGGTGGAGAGTCAGGCGGAGGAGAGGTGGCAGGGGAGGAGGCAGGCGCAGTCGTTAGTCGTGGCAGAGGGAGTGGCAGCAGCGTAGGGGCTGGGATTACGATAGAAATGTCGATAGGAAGACCAGAAGGGCTTACAGGCGTTGCCGTAGGCGTCGCGGGATCACTCGTCGGCGCTGCTGTGGACTCAGGCGCGGGGGCGGTCGAGTGTGGCTGCGGGGTCGGGAGGGGCAAGGAAATCAACGGAGGCAGCGACGAAATTGGCGGGAGGTTTGAGGGAAAGTTGCTGAGGTCTGACGCGGGTATGCCAGCGACGAGAGGGTCAATAATCGGGCTTAGGAGTGGTATATTGGACGGCACCGGAACCGGTAGATTAATGAGTGCTGGTTCGCGTGCCTCAAAACTTTGGCCATGTCTCGCTTTGAGCCTTCTGGAGAAGCGAGTATCTGCGTGCATATAGGTGAGAAAAGACTGAGAAGAGGCCGTCAAGGCAAACGAAAGGATTCGTGAAACGAGTGTGGGTCAGCCGTAGCAGTGACGGCAGAGTAGGCTGGTCAAAGACGGATTATGGGCGGAGAAGACAACCCAACCCTTGGGGTGTGAGAAGGAGGTAGTAGCATCAAGTACGCACAAGTTCGGGCACAGGGTGCGAGTGATTAATTCTCTGGCTGCGTCCGCGGGAGTTCGGGACAACTTGTCTCTCTGCACGTGGACGCGAATATGATGAGGCCGTAGCGTCTGTTTCATCGCGCTCTCCTCCTCCCGACGCGTTTCTCCCGTTTCACTCTCGTCTGCTTAGCATCGTCGTATTCGCCGAGCGAGCTCAGAAGGACTCCCGCCTCCAGCCCAGCCCTCTCCAGGCCTCCCCTGCGATGCTGGCTGACTCCCAGTCCGCCGGCTGGGCGTGATAGACTTGTGTCTTCTCCAACCTATCGATATCACCGCCAGCTGACAGCTGCAGGCTGCCATCGAATGCCAACAGCCGTGATGTCGGCACGGTCGTAGTCTATCTGACAAGCGTGGTGGACCACCCCCGCGAAAAAGGCGTCATCGTTGCCCGTGTGCCTGACGACATCCGTAGTCCCCGGTACGTTCTATGTGCGTGAGATATTCACGCCGTTACCAACCCAGCCAAAGTCTTGTCTCCAATATAAAACGACCCCAAGCCATGCGGCTGCGGAGAGTTGCCGTGGCAAACCCCCTATGCTTCCGATGCTCCGGTCGTCGTAGATGCTATATATGGGATCCATGGTAACTACTGCGATTCCTTCATTCGGCCAGCTGTTTTAGACAGACAGTTTTCGCTCATCTATCAGTCAAGCGACAGCCGCGGACGATGAGACAAGTCCTGCTTAGCGAGGTACGCGTGTATCAAGCCTACTACATGTTAACTCGTGCAGCCATCTGCGACTTGTGGGTTATGGCTCTGCCGGGTTGTGCGTTACGTGGCAGAGTAACTCAGGCTCCCGTGAGATCTTACAAGCAGGCAGAAGCGCGATGTTGCTTGGCGTGAGCACATTCAATGAGTGTGTGCGTTGATTGCACTCCCTGTGTGAACTTTGCCGGGCGTCGGTGATACGCAATAAAGAAGGACCCCTTCAAGCACCAAAGCCCAGAGTACTGCATCAGCTGTGGCTTGGTGAAGCCTGGTGAGTGACAAGAAGTAGAATTCTCGTTTCGAGTTGTGTTCAATTGATCTGTATGGTTACATCCATCAGTCCTATTTCTGGGAGGCCACAATGTCCTTATGCACTACTGATGAAGTTGCATCGCCTGGCACTCCCGACATTCCTGACATCCATCATCCATGGTTGTTACCGCGAACAATGAGATCAGCTTTGCGTGATCCTAGAAGGTCTCCACTGCATCGCCAGCGAACTTAACCTGTCGCTCGCTCATACGGGCCCATGCAATATCTGCGAAGATTTCCCTGATTTTTGTGGGTTAATCATGTTCCCCCAGCCGGAGGTCTAATAGCGGGAACCTGTGGTACGCGCTTGCTCGTTAGGAATTTGTACGCCAATATTTGGCTTAGCCAGCCACCTGTTTAAGCTCCCTTGTAAACTGTAGTCCTTGTGTTTTTCCCACATACTCTTAACTCTGATCGTGGTTCCCAGCGTGAATCTGTCATGGCACGGCTGTGGTCAGTGGATGCAGCGGTCTCGAAAGTACTTGTTGTTTCGGAAGAAATTGCCGGCCGGCGTAACTTACTGTTGTCGGTAAGCAATGGATATAAGGTCGTAAGTTAAAACATGTAAGTTACGTAATTGGGCGTCTAATATATGAATCACAGTAAGTAAATGTAAGTAAACTGTGTAAGTTACGGGGTAAGCTGTCAGCGCTGTCAGCTTTTGCTTGGCAACGACGATCCGGGGCCCGCCGCATTATCCATGCTGATTAAGATGTCACCACACTAATTGTGCATGTCGATCTACTGCATGGATGATGAGCTTTAGACTAGATTCGCGGTTACACAAGGACAGCCTAAATTAATCAATATTCAGGTGTTCGTAGAAGTCAACGTTAACGTTTGTGCGAGGTAGTGTGCCCGAGAGTCGAGACAAGACATGCTTCGAACGACGAAACGCGGCATGCCGGATATCCGTGAGACACATTAAAGCTTCAGTATATCTACACTTTACCCTGGCCTGCCTGAGGCCCTGAGCCAGAACGAGGCATGTGCAGAGTACTATACAGAACTTATCTAAGCAATCTCCCAGTACTTTGCTACATTTACCTCCGTCCAAATTTCAGGTACGCTTGTCATAGGTTACGTATGAGCTACTGACTTTCTTTCGAATGTACGTCTAACTTTCTTCCACATCGCTAGGGCTCAGACTTAGATCTAAGTTCTGGACGCCGCGGTGGCGCTATGCGTTGCGGGAGTCTGTTAAGCGCGCGCTACGCCTTCTCCTCTCCGTTCACCCAGTGTTCACCCACATGTTCCAACATTCCTCCGTCCCTTTCTTCTACGCCGGACGTACTCATCAATGTTTCGCTTGTTTGGTGTACGCCATCCCGAAAGATGCTGGTTACGTGTCCAAAGGCTTCCGCGCAGCAATCGTCCCAGTGTCCACGGTTGGTTTGCTCGCTGATGAGATCTGCAGGATGAGGTTCAATCTCTCCGTCTCTACACGTTGACCCATGGCGACATTCCACTCAGAGCTTTCTCCAGGTATTGTTGCCCGACAATGGCTGTGGTGGCGGCTTGCCGGGTGTCTAGTGACAGAAGGTGCGACGAGGACTGGGAGAGGTTGTAGAATGATAAGTTTCACAGTCGGCGTGGTTATCGGTCGTCCGTAAAAGGTATGGACTCTGTGGTATCGTCAAAGTCTTTCTCTGCCCTTACCGTGGTTGCCCATCTCCTGCGCCTTTCCCTATTAGCTCTAGGCCTGTATTTTCTTGCTAGTACGACGCTTTCACGAGGAATGGAACTACTGCGTTGTTCGCAATGACAAGACTGCTGAATCGATCTCTGGTGACCGTTCATGTGTACAAAAAATTCGTAATTTGCACCCTCTTAAAGCTTGAAGGCGTAAACTCCCGACTCTTATGACTTTTAACCCTCTCTTGCCGAGTTTAATCGATCTTCTAGCTAGCTTTGCGCAGGTCTCGTGCTCTCGTAGAGTCATTTATCACATGAAAACACGACTGGGGAGGTCTTGGGGCAGGCTGCGGTCATCGATCGTGTTCACGGTATGTCCATTATTCGACGCGTGGGTGGTCAGATCTCGACCTAAACGTAAAAATCTCATGCTACAGTGCTTTGGATGAGCATAACTCCGCGCCGACCATACCGGACTCGCTCACCTGCGAGGTCATCCGACCCGCGTCGGGTCACCCGCTCGCTCACACTCACACCCACAGCCCCTTCTCGAGCTTCTTTCCGTGGCCCTTGGCAAGAACTCACACCGCAGAGACGCGCATGCGCTCGCAAGTCCGGTGCACGCATCCCAGTAGCGTTCTCATGGCGATTGTTCCCTGCCGGCGGCAGTCCGGTCAACAAGGGTTCTATCAGCGTCCAGCGGTCGGCGAGCAGCGTGTCTGCAAGCGTTCTCAGCGTCCTCTGGGCCCCGCCTCAGGACGTAGGTTTGTTATCGCCGGTGATAGGCATGGTACACGTACGACCCGCCATTTCAGAGTTCGCCGGTGATAGGCATGGTACACGTACGACCCGCCATTTCAGAGTTCGCCGGTGCAGGACAGGTACGCGCGCATGCCGGGCGAGTCGCAGGTGCTGAGGCGATGTGTCCAAAGCGCGAGCACGGCCGGTGGGACTCTCATTGGCCGTTTACAAGACTACAAATTACACTGTGAGGGAGTTGTGCGCGCGCGCGTGGAGCATCGAAGTCGCCGTCGAGGGTATGCCACCCCAAAACTCACTGTGCGAGCCAAACGGAAACTGACATTCCCTTTTCAGTCGAGAGGACGTTGAATGCGACAGCGCACGTCCATTTGGGGGCGGCCGGCGTGTATCACGCATCTGCGTAGGCGCATCTGCCCGATCGTAATCGCGGCTTGCCAGAGGACCCTCGTTGCGTAAGGTGCGTCTTCTGCCGTCCGCTGGCGCTGCTCGCAGACAACGGCTGATGCGTCCTTGGTCGCTGGGGCAGGCTGATATCGAAATGCGTGCTCTCCGCGGCCGCACGCGCACACTGGAGGGGACGCACCCTCTTTTCTCGGTCGGCATCGAAGGGTTCTCCCACACAGCCAGGGACGCGAGCGTCGCAGGGCGTCTCGATCTCCATTGCGAGCCGATCCTTTGTCAGGAACGCCGCGGTGGCGCACGCGGCATCAGTCGCATGGGACAACGCTGCTTGAAGGACAGCCCGCTAACGTGCGAGGGGTTGCGACTCGGAGGAAGAAGATCGGCCCTCGGCCCTCGTGGCACCACCCCACCCACCCTCGCATCACACCAGGCTCCACAACGTCGCGGAAATGGGAGGGAGATTGGCGGCGTGATCGGGCTGGCGGTGCTCAACATGGAAAACGCGACGTCGTCGACCTGCTGAACGGGATTGCGAGGGTCCAAAGTCGGTGCTGGGTCGGAGGACCCCAATATCATACGACAGAGGATGCCGACACACAGTCCCTGGAAGCTCGCACTAGTTTGACACTGAATTCTATGGCCCTGCAGCCGGGCTGTCGTTGTTGGAAGTTTGATTGGTGAAATCAGAGACATCATGGTTGGACCAGCGTGAGATATGCCAAACTAGAAGAACAGGATAGGGAGATGTTCACTATGGTGGGGCCTGCCTTGCTTGCGCTGGAGCCGTTGTGTCATCGGACGAACAACGTCCATATACACTGCAGGACTTGCGACGCGTAGAATACGAACGGTGGACGGACTGACGTCGACGTCATAGCTCGGCAAGTTGGTTGTACAGCGCTCACGTAACTTCGCAGCTTTTCATAGTCAAAAATACTCACAGGAGCCACTCCTAGAAGCCGCCTACTTTCCGTGCCGTGTGAGCAACTCGTCGTTCCTGCCAATTGATGCCTAACTTTCCTGTTATGCCACCGGGGCAGGGTACTACTGTACCTGGGAAGACGGGCATTTGATTGCAGGGAAATGGGGGAGTGATGACGAGGATGATAAGTGCACCCTCCTCGACGACAACACAATCGAAGCGTGCTTCGCGTCTTTTGGCATGGTGGCGGCGTTAAGGGAAGACGGCTTTTTGTTGATAGGCGAACAAAGCAATCAAGACGGCGTGCACACCGCTTGAGCACGCTCGCATGTCGTACACGCGCGATAGTCGTCATTCCGCAGCGTAGTAATCCAGCGATCAGGCTCGTTCAGTCCCTTTACGGTGCGCACCGCTCCCCGACTTGTGCGAGCACGCGTTCTATCTTGTGATATTCTTGCAGTCTCCGCACATGAGGATGCCGCTACTCGTTCAATTGACAGGCAGTGCGCGGGACTTATCATGCCATCAGAAGCGAGGCATCAGCCATTAGCAAAATGACTCTGGACGAGGACACGTCTGCGAGTGGAGAGGCTTTCACCCATCTGTGCAAAATGGGCTAAGGTAACTGGGGTTCGAAAAACGCTTGCCGAACATGGTTGTGAACCCGAGGGCATTTGAACCTCCGGGGGTGCCGATGCGAAGCTGCTGGGATCGTTAAGGATCGCTACAGCCCAGTGCCGCTTAAGGCGAACGTGCTTCATTGCGGTGGGCGATGCAAGAAGGTTCTCACGGCTACTTCTGCTGTCCGCTCCACTTGGGGTGGGCATTCCTGACTACAAATCTGACAAACGCCTCAAGAGCGCCCCCGTAATCTCCCGCACCGCGGTGTGTTAGCGTCGTACGCCCACTGGGGGACGTGTAAAACCTCTCCTACCTTTTGTTGTGCAAATTTCCTGCGCGGCATTTGTCGAGCTCAGTCAGGCTCGCGTGGCAACGGCAACGGAGGATAATGGAGCGCCCGACCGAGCTGATCGCTGACGCCGCCTTGCTGGTTCTTTTGATCGCCAAACTTTCCTTATCAGGCGCCAGATTGTGGCGTTTGTCAGGCGCCCCCTTGTTTCTCGCAGTGCGCCTTGCAGGCTTCCGTTCCACCGCTATCGGGAGTTGTCTTCTCTCCGTCTCGCGTCACCAAACGACGAGTGCGTGTGGGGCCTGTTGTCCTCCGCTTGTCCGGGCAGTCTTGCAGTCCAACTCAGGGATGCCGATACGCGGAAACAGGTGGGCACCCTGAAAACGCCACCAGGGAATATAGTTGGGAGGACTACCCGTTCAGGGATGCCGCCAGCCGAGGGCGGCGGTTGTCGAGCGCGGACGGCTGCGGAGGACGCGCCAAGGGCTTGCCGGAGGGCCATCGATGGACGTCGGTGTCCAGAAAAGGCAACATTCGGAGCCGATTGAGGGTTGCTTCCGCGGGGCGCCTGCGGGGCCGCCCTTATCTTTGGCCGCCGAGGGCGGCGAACGGGTTCTCCTCCCTTGGCTAGTAAGCGCTCCACTTGACCCACACCAGAATGGCAAAACTTCACAAAATTAACCTCGCTCGCTTCTTTCACCGAGCAGAATGCAAATGACAAACGCCCACCATGCCCTTGACGTCAAACACAGGCCAATGTGCAAAACATATATAAGACCCCTCCTCTCTGCCCTCAGTCTGCAGGAAATCCGTGTTCTACACACATACCACTTTCCACTTCATACCCCATACACCACTCACCGCTTTCTTCTCTCCCAACGAACTTGCACGACAACACATCCATCATAATGTCGTCTCAACAGCAGCAGCCCATCGTCACTTTCTTCACCGAGGCCGTTCTCTTTGACATGGTGAGTTCATACCCTCTTTCGCCACACACATGGCCAGCCGCTGACAGACTCTTACAGGACGGTACTCTCACTGACTCTATCGCCGCCGTCGAGGCCGCGTGGGGCAAGGTAGCAATGGACATCGGCCAGGACCCGGCATACGTGATCGCCGCCACCCATGGCAAGCGTGCCGTGGACAACCTCGCCCAGTTCAAGCCACACATCAAGGCGCACGAGATGGACGATGAAGTTACCGCCTTCGAAGAGTCAATTCTCTTCTTTGCCGATGCATACAACAAGTTCGGTCCCGGTTCGCAGCCAGGCAGCCCCAGCCCTACCATCGACTCTGGCGCGACAACACCCTCGCTCACGCCCTCGAGCTCTGCACCCTCGTCCCGCGCACCATCACGTGCCCCGTCCTTCGTCGGCGGCATCGCAAACCTCGCCAACATCCGCCGCCCGTCCTTCCTCACCCGGCTCAGCGGCCTCCTGACCATGTCTGCCGTGAACGAGCATGAGGAGGCGACATTCGACGACCCGATCATGGAGGAGCAGCACCAGGAGATGCTCGAGCAGGAGGGCAAGCTA